CCATGGCAGCCGTGGCATCAGGTGCCACATCGCCACGGAGACGTGGTCCTTGTTGCCAAGCAACCATTGCCTAGTGCTGCTGCCTCGCCCCTCCTCCCCCGCCTGGAACTTTCCATGCAGATGTGCACTGGTCCGAAACATCTGGAAATGCCTCTCACCCCATCCTAGCCCCGGGGGTGCCCAGGAAGCAGGACCGAGGCCATGCGGGCAGACCATGCCAGGGAGAGGGGACACTACAGGGAGCATGAGCTGGCAGGACAGGACCCCCCTCCCTTGGGACCTTTCAGCCTTGGAGGCTTCTTGCAGTGACCTAGCTGCGAGGTTTCACAAGGACTCAGCCAAGAAGGAGGTGGTGGAGCTGAGCCAGCAGCTTTGGAGGGGGGGATGAGGTGGAAGAAAAGTCTGGAGACTTTGGTGGAAGAGAATCAGCAATGCTACTGGTCGTGAGCCATCCTTAGGCTTCAGAGTTAATGCCTGGGTGGGTCGTGGCTCACTCTCCCATCTGTGCCGCAGATTAAAGTGGATGCCCCGGGGCTGCCTGCAGTGCTGGTGGCCAGGGTCCAGGAAGGAGTTGGGGTGTGAAGGATGATGGGCAGGAGGTGAAGCAGAGACCCATGTCCAACTCAGCCCAAGGCTGCATGGCTGGGACAGGGAAGGGACTTCACCAGGAGCAAGGGTTTTGAGGCTGGGATCGGCAGTTGGCAGGAGCCCCCCGGCTGAGGCAGGCTCCTGGAAGACTCCAGGATTGGGAGGGATGGCTCAGCATCCTAAAGGAGATTGGCCAGCTGGGCACCCCCACGGCCCTGGCTCCCCTGATGCACTCCTCTCCCCTTCCAGGTTGTCCTCGTCCTCCGGCAGCAGCCGGCTGAACCCTGTCCCTGTCACCTTATAGGCAGGAGCAGGACCTGGTCCTGGCGCTCCACCTGCCCACTCCGTAGGGCTGAGACCCACAGGGACAGCGCCCCCTGCTCAGTCCAGGGCTGCTGCCTCGTAGGGCATCCTACAAACAGCATCCCTGTACCCGAGGTGGGCTCTAATGCCTTGACAGAACAAGGTCTGTGGGGTAGTCTCCAAACAACCCCAGCTCCCGACTCCAGGCAGAGGTTTGGAGGGGTCCTTCCTCCCCCTTCTCCCCCCTGCTGTGGGGTACAGGGAAACACGACCACGCAGCTCCCCCAGCCACAGTCCCAGGCAGCCCCTGCACCTCTCAGGCTCTTGCACGCCGAGATCCCCATCCCTGCCCCTTGCAGGATCCTGCAGTCCTCCCGGCCCTCCCAGCTCCTTTAGCCTTCCAGTCCCCGGCTTTTCTGTGCTCCGGTTCCCTCCTGTCCCCCGACCCGTCCTCTATGCCCCCCGAGTCTGTGCCCCCCGTCCCCCTGTCCTCCTGCTCCACT